ACAGGTAGTGAATTGGAGTAAAAATGCGTAGGTGTCCGCAATGAGAATTACGGTGACTGAAATCCACACGCGACCTGACAACGTGTGCAAACCACGAGAAATGCAAGGGCCTCCTAATGCGTGCCGAGCCCTCCTGGGGGAGGAAAGTGGGTTTGCTGAGACCCCAGTCGGATCATTTTCCATGTGTGGTTGATGTGAGGTCGTTACATGACGCGCGATCTGAAGTCGAAAAATCTAACTTTAGAGTACTCATATCAACCCAGGACGTTCTTGAACCGAGCGGACACCGCCCACAAGAAACCAAGTCAAAGGCGCTATGGCAAAGTAAACTGACGATTACTCAAAAGGATGAGGAAATTTGGGGTCCTAAAAATTCACTATAAAATAATTTTTAAACTCACAAATTGCTTTAAACTTTACAAATGACTAGGGGCAGTCGTTCAATGTTGGCTCGATTTAGCTTAACTAGCATCAAAATTCTCCATGAGTTAAACATCAGAATTATGTCCAAAAAGGTTGTGGCCTCAAGGGACCACAGTTACAGCCTTGATTTGACGCTAATACGAATTACTTCATCGGAAAACATCATGGCGTTAAGCGGAAGGACACTCGGAAATGCAGAAGTAGTGTGCGCAAATTCAAGGCCAAAAGTTCGGTGTGTTGTTGGCAGAACGTGCCAATGGGCTTACTTCCGCATTAAGCTAAAGATAGAGATGGTAGAACGAAGTTTGAACGGAAGTGTTTAAGAGGACGCTAGGCACGCGACACCGAGGCTGTTTTCAAGGCGGTGTTTTTACTCACAGTATCGACCACAGACTCGGCAAAATGCTGCTAACTAATGAAGAACTATCTTCTACATCTACCACCAACAGTGAAAATTAAGATTTATCAACAAAAACTGAAGGATGAAGTGAAAGTGGATTTATTTATTGACTGCCGACAAAGTTTAATGTCCCGTTAATTTTCCGTAGTGCGATAAACTAATTTGAACCCTTAAGTAACGGGGATAGCAAGAAGCGAGTAAATGTCTATTACTAAAGCTTACATAAAATCACTGCAGCATTCATCGCTAATATTATGGGCAAAGTCGACTCTTTTTTTGATGGATTAGTTAAAGAAAATAGAATCACAACTTATTTTTCAAGCGTATCTTTAGAGAATCTTAAGGGCTTCTTTAAATCGTGATTTATCGCTTTAAGTCAAAATTATGTGATTGTGGAAAGCCAGCTATGGTTACTGCACTTTCGAGTGCTTCTAAGAGCTAAATGAGCGCAGATTTTGCTTCCTCGTTTAGCTTTTTGATCAGCAGGCTTAACAAAAGGAATTTCGTTAAAAATGCCCCTGAAAACCACTAGTTAGCCAAGCCTTAAGGTAGATACTATATTAGTTAAAAAATTGTGTTTATTTCACTCGAAATCAACATTAGGCCTGCATTCTTTTTCTCAAAAATCACTGTCCTGAAATACAGTTTGAGGTGTGCTAAGTCCTGGGAAGTTGTAAATTTGGCATTGGAAGAAGAAAATGGCCCACGAGGTGCCAATGGTACGCGACGCATTAGTGCAGGTGTAAAGCGCTCACCTTAGCTTAGGAGAAATTTACTGGCTTTAGGCGTCCAAGCATTACACCATAATATGGCAATAATTATAAATATTACATGTAAATTATGCTTGTCGACGTGAAGCGACTTTTGCTTACATTTGCTTTTTTCCATTTTTTTCAAATGGCTTATCTTAACTGATAAGTTTTCAGCATCTTTAATTTTTAGTTTGAAATATTTAAGTTTGTTATTTAAAATACATTTCGAAACATTTGCACAAATTTAAGTACGATCTCTTAGGTTATTTAACACTAAATTTTTGTTATTAGTTCTCATGTACTAACCTTGAAACTGGCCACTAGAAAAATTATTTTAAGCAGCTAGTTTACTAGTAAAATCTGGAGAGGAGTTAAAGGCTTCCGTGCAAAAGCATTTATCTTCTAACTTAATAGCAATTTTATTTGGGGCTTAGGGAGTTCAAGTGCCTCTTCAGAGTCTACATTTTATTGACAATTAAGTTCAGAAAATTCCGATGTTCTACTATTCGAGGTAGACAGCGTTTTACATGTGGTTAGTGCACCTTTCACGTAAATAAAAACAAATTTTTAGAATCAACCATTTGTGAAAGTTAATTTCTTCGTTTCGACTGAGAATCTCAATCTGATTATGACTAAATTATCCCTTCAACTTAAATATAAATGTCATTGCATACGCATTCACGTTCACGATTTGCAAAGCAATTAAAAGAACAATATTTTCATCTCGTGTTCTACTTATCTTTGCGGAGATATTGCCTTTTAAAGGCTTGCGGCGATCAAATCAAGTTCGTTGTCGGAACCGCGTAAAACTTGTCGCCTAGTGTGTTAGCTTGCTCCTCTGTCAAACGATCCGCTAGCGCGACAAAACGACACTCAAGGGTATTCCATTTTTGCTCAGCATTCATATGGCATGATTTATTAAGCATGGGTTCTGGAACCCCACACAAACTTAAGTCGAACCCCGAAAGCAACTGCTGCCTTGCCACAATTATCACTTTTCTTAGGGAGATTTTTAAAATCTACAATCCCAGTAAAATTAATCATTATTTTCAAGCTGCTTGTAGTTTGTACGAAAGTTTTATTAGTTAGCACATCTATAACAGAAGCTCTGCAACGACTCTGCAGTCAAATTTGTTTATATTCCGACTTTGAGTTATTTATAGTTTCTAATTTACCCACACGAACCTGTGTTGCAATTAGCAGATTTCACAGGATAGTCTATTTAGTATGCTTATAAACGTAAAAGGGACAATATGTTAGTGTTAGATTTTCCTAATGAAATCAATTGATTTCGTTTTAAAAGCAATATTTTTGTAAGATTTTAAAACGACCGAAGCGAATTGGCTAAGCCGAAGACTAATTTCTCTCGCTTGTGCAAGTGAAACCATAATTATATTTATCACTGAGTACCCAACACAATTTCATTGATTTCAATATTCACAAACTACGGTGTTTGTAATTTAATCGTTTCTTTAGTGAGTTTTGGTGAACCGGGATAACAAAAGGCTTCTTAAATACATCAAACTAATCATTTATAGAGATTAGATAGGTTTTTCGCTCGGCTTACAACGTTAATTTGGCGCTAGAGATTTCATATTTCACAGATGTGGACATTTCGATCGAAAACAAAAGATGTCTCCTGAAGAAGTAAAACTTAAGCCTTAAACAGAATGATTGGGACCAATATTCAAATGAACAGCCCTTTAATTGGTATAATGCGACCTTTAATTAACTGAGTCACCATTTACAACTTTATTAATAACGTATCTTGACAGATTAGGTGCAAATTCTTCTGTGTGCTTGGTTTTATTTTAACGGGAATAAAAGGTTGTTGTAAAAGTAGGTAAACTCGTAAGGCCACAAATTAACAGATTTGTGACTTAAATGCCCTTTAAAATTGATTTAATTAAGCAAGGTCAGTGTAATCATCAAGTCGATGGTGTTTCTGATTTCGTCTAATTAATGGCCATCTATGTAACCCAAAACTTACATAGTTAAGAGCACTGCACGTGTATTTTGCCTTCCAGCTGAGAGCATTGGATTCCTCTTCAGGAACTCTTTTCTTATTCAGGGAAATTTGTGTAAATTCTCACATTGAATGTGCTTAAAGAGTGGGTAACTTATAGGAAGGGCTTCATATACCTCATTTAACGGGGCTAAAAATAACAGTAATCTATGTTTTCCCTTATAATTTTAGTGAATTCTTTTATACTGGATTCAGCTAAAATTCGGGAAGTCACTAAGATACACCTCAGGGTTTTTCCAAGGATGAGTACTAAGCTGTGTGACGCTAGCCTCCGAATGAAAACTCATTCCTTGAAGTCAAAAAAATTCAATTTTGTGAGGCCTTCAGTAAACTTCTACTGTCTCCCAAATAAATTTATAAGTGTGAAACACCCTTAAGCTATTACTTATGTATTATAAAAACCTTGAACATGCTTTATTGTAAGCTTTTCTGTTAAATGAAGAAAAAGTGTCCAAATATGCTTAATTATATCCTCAGTGTTCAATTGACGACGTGCCTGGTAACGGTAAATTACTAGTGTTCATACCTAGGATTTCCGATAGCAAGAGATTGTCATATTTTTTTGTAAAGGGTATATGTGAATTGAGACGTCTTGCGTTATAAACAGATAAATAATAAGCTACAATACAAAACTCTCATTTCAGACTAATCTAGATAAAACTATTGGATCATGAGTTTGTCTACAACGGTTTAATGTCACTGTAATCATAATGACTGATAAATACACATAGCTCTTTCCTGGAACTTAGGACCTGTATGATTGCAAAAACGTACTTTTACTTTGTTTGGCATGTAATCGAAGGAAAAATGTAGTACATTTTTCATTAAGTAAAGACAATCATACAAAGTTTGATATATTGATTCATTAGAATATAAGGGGTTGTTAGCTCAGGCATATCATATCTCGAACAGCATACACTTTTATCGAATTTACACACTCAAGAAAGGCATTATTGGAAGGCATTGAGAATAGGCGTGATGAGGCTGCACTAAGTCTAGACGACCCAAGTATTCGCATAAGAGAAATTTTGCCTTAAATTCGGTTACATAAAGACATTACTTTCGTCCGGAAACCTGGCTTGAAGTTGTTTTGCACGGCCACAGGGAAATTATTTCGGGTACCCCACTGCTTTAAATTGCAAAAGTTTTTGGCGTCATGGCATTGTTTCAACAAAACCCATGGTTTCTATGGGCAGGACAAAATAAGCATAAATGAAGTAAGTCTTCAGTGGGCTTGTAAGAACTTAATCATTAGGTTTATTTAACAATGCATCATTTGGAAGAACAAAACGCTTTTACACATTTCTCTAAAGTAAATACATTATCTTGATTGAATTACGAAGTACAAAGAGCAAATGCGTGGAAAACAAGTTAGGCACAGCAAAACTGCAGAAAAAACTCAAAGGGATGCACGATCTAAAGAGGAATAACGGAAAAATTTGAGAGGTGGCGATTCACACTCATCCGAGCTCAGCTCATCAAAAGTATTTGGTGAAATCCTGGAATAACACTTAGCGTCTGCGCCCATGGTTCTCTGCTCTTTATGCTGGAGAAAAGGAGCTGCCACCTTTTTGCTGCCGATTTCACCTTGTCCGGATGTGCAGGATGGCACATTTTCGCTCACTCTTGGCAGCTTTCGATAACACGAGTCATTAAATCGCAAATTATGTTGAATTAGGTTTCGTTCGGGTTTTTTGTCTGACTGATATATCCAAGGTGAGTATTCGTCTTCAAAAGATTCTGATTCAGAGTAGGAAGCCGTGGTTCTGATTCTGCCCTCCGCAATTTGGCGGAAGCTTTTCGTTGGTGGATCAACATTCTGGTGTCCGTCATTACTAAAGAGACGCGCAAAGGAACGAAAGTATTTTTCAACGTGCAGCTTAATTGCCGACTGGGGAGTATCGTCGCACGGTAACGAGTTACTTTGAGCCTCGTTTTCACAAGGTAATTTCGAGGAATGAGACATTTCTTTGATGTCCTTCGTAAAGCCTTGTTTTGCGTTCGATTTGGATGCATAATCCCTACCATAGTTTGTAGGTAGATGATTTGTCATTCCAATAAATGAATGAATAACGTCACCATGTAGACGCCTCAGCTCTTGGGCTTGAGCAGCTGCCTCCAAGTCATCTCTTCTCTGATCGTCTGTGTTCATTGTAAGGAAACGCAGCACTAGGAGATTCATGACAGAACTCACCACTGTTAGCCCAAACAAGATAAAAACCAGACTAAATGCCACATAGTCTGGTCGTTTTGCCAGGGAATCCTCTCGCTGCAGAGCAACAAAGTCTCCAAAGCCAATGGTAGTGAGAGTTATGAAACAGTAATACAGAGCATCCAGATAGTGCCACTTTTCGTACTGGGCAAAGACCGCGGCTCCAGCTGTCAAGACGATGGTGACGACATTCGCACTGACAAAAATAAGGTGGGTCTGAGAAATAGATTGGCTTTTACATCGTAGTATGCATACAAGGCGACGAAGAAGGCGTGTTATGAGCGTGTTTATTCTTTCGCCAATGCTCTGGAACATGACGAGGCACAAGGGAATGCCTGGTAGAGCGTAGATCATGCAAAATACCTTCCCCCCTACTGTTTTGGGCGTGCAGTGACCATACCCTAAAAGAATACCATATAAAATTTGTGTCCAATAATCACCAGCTTCCACGCAAGCAACTAAACTGGGTAGAATAATCTCTTTTTTGGTTGTGCCATGTCCTTTTCATGTCAAAAATGTTTGGGAAATCTGTTTTTACCAAAATCCATCTGTGCTTATTTAATTACAAAAAATTGTGCATATACTGACGCCTTTACCGTATGATATAAACTTTTGTTCTTTCAATCTTGCTTCGCTTTCATTGTAGATGTTTAAACAGCAAACGTTTTATGCATCCTTGTCGACTAACGTAAATTTAATGGCAGTGATTTATTTTAAAAGAGTTGATCTTAAACCGTATGGACTTGTTTGCTTCCCAGCCCCCAAGCTAACGAAAACCTTTCTTTTGTATGACCTCTTTTCGAGGACATGACCAAAACCAGCATGCTTGGGACACAATAAAAAGTGAATGGGGGCTGATAATTTAGTAGCTAAATCTGCCTAAACTGCGATCCTCATCAAGGCCCATGCGTGACCAGCCGCCAAGTTTATTAACCATTCAGCTTTTTGGTGGAGCCACCGATCCAGCATAATTAATCATCAACGGCCTTATAAACTCAGTAAGCGGTTAAGCCTCAATCCTCTTTGATTCCTGCATTATTATCTGTGCATTTAGTTTCGAATCTGCTGGCTTCAACACCAGTAATTTAACCCCACATCGGAGCCTCCAGCAGCATTTTTCAAGAGAGTGATAGTCAAATCAATGGAACTTGTATTAAGATTGTCGGTGTTACATACGATTTAATGTAGAAATTGACTTTTTTAGCTGAAGCTTGAATCACTTTATCCA